TGGTGTCACAATCACTGTGAATTAAGTTGATAGAGATAGCACCAAACTTAACGGAATTTTTAAATTGATCCTTTCATGAGAGACACTTTTTACTGGCAAAGAGGCATTCCATCTTAGTCCTAACGGGTGACAACGCATCTGCATCTTGACTCTTTATTGAGGATAGATGTCTATGGGTCACAGTAACCACTTACCATCAGGTGGACTGTGTGCTCGATTGTCACCCGATCCTATAAAAAAAAAAGATCAGTGTTTGAGTATTTCGGCATTAGTGTCTTATTATTGTATTCCGACATATGTACATATATACAAAAAGGAGGAGGTTCTCAATTCGCGTGTATGTTTATTTTGTATGTATGTTACGCGATATCTTCGCAGGTTGTGAACCGATTTTAATGATTCTTTTCTGCCGACTTCCAAAAAGGAAACGGTACTCAATTCGACTGTATGTATTTTTATGTGTGTTACCTCATAACTTTGTACTGGGTGAACCGATTTCGATCATTCTTTTTTTATATGAAAGCTGATAGTTCTCGTGTGGTCCCATATGAATTTGATCAAGGTCAGACCAATAGTTTTTGAGTTATTCTTAATAACTTATATTGAAGTCGGCTGTACAAAATTTTATTTTAATTTTAAATTATTATTAAATTAAACAAGCTTTACCTCAAGGTTGACCCATTAAAATTTGAAGTAAAAATTCCATCGCCAAGGATGGAAAATATGGGAATTTTTTTCATATTGGACTATTGTTCAAGGAATTTCATATGATATTGCAGATTGAGAACCGATTTTAATTATTCTTTTTTATTAAATGGGCTATACTTCAAGTATGGTCCCATATGAATCTGGAGAAAAAATTCCACCCGCAAGGGTAGCAAACAAATAATTTCTTTCTTAGCAATTTGAAGTCGGTTTTTACTTTTTGTTAAAAGTTATAATTATTACCAACATTATTTGTACTTCATTAGTCCGTAAATGTCCACTTATGGGTATGGGCTTCTTCCGTTGTATGAAGGATATGCAATCTCAATAATGTCAAACGGATTGACTATCGTAGATTACCCGACGTCTTGGATCTTTGACACTGCGCTCCGGTCATTGGGGAAATTACATCTATCGAAATCCATAAGACCTCTCTGGCAGTTCACAATGGAGACAAGTCATCTGCGCAGGACGGGATCATAATGGCGATTGTATGCGCAAGCACAAGCGACACATTCTCTGTGATAATCTCTTCACAGATAAAACCAACAATTGATTTTGATCGTACCCGGGATTTGAATCACTATACTACTACTAGACCTACGAGGCAGTCACCTCTTACGACACCTACGGGACTAAATGGAGTGATGGATCATCTTTATACCACCACCATACGGCGAAATTTATTACTACAATATAAAATTAATTGAGATCAACGTACCTATAAAATTAATTGGTTGTCTGGAAGAAATTGCTGTCAGCTATAAGACCGACCATTGTATACTAGCTGACCCGTGCCCACTTTGCTGGGAGTCAAACATTTTTACTTGTGATGGAATTATCTTGTTTGGTTCTTAGTACTGAGTGTTTAGGATTTATTTTCGGAATTGATTGACAAATATTGTTATTTCACATTAAAAACTATTATTAATCACAATCAAATATAGCTTATGTCACTCAGGACTAATGTAGCTACTGGTGAAAGAATTTTTAAAATAGTTTCAGTAGTTCCAGACATTACTTCCTACAAACAAACTCACAAACTTACAAACTTTACCTCTTTATAATATTAGTATAGATTTTTGTATATTTTTATGGTGTGCAATAAAGAATATTAATTAAAAAAATAAGATCAGTATGTCATTGGCATAGTAAGAGTTAATAACGTAGCAGGTAATTAAAATCTGTAATTTTGCAATTTTACTTCGAACTGGTTGCACATCTAAGATGCCTGTCAAATACCTGTTGCAAACCATCTTGGCCTACTTTTAGGCCTTTAGCAATAAGGTATAATTGTATCTTCTTAATAAACTACAATTATAAAATTATGGCGTCAATATCATAAAAACATGGTCTTATATTATAATTTCGTTTACGTGTTTTATTCATTTATTTACGTATATTACTCAATATTTGCAATATTCCGAAAATATAAAAAATATCGTAAGCTGGGTTAGATTCACATAAACTTTCCACAGTGGTAGAGCCACGCGGCAGCTTTTGCTGTCGCACGGATGGGCCGGCTCGAACCGGGGTGGTACCACGACCTCACAGAATACCAGCGTTAAGTAGAGGTTTACCTCTGCGTTTCGCTTGGTGAGTGCAGGTGGCCGGAGGCCCTTTTTACTGGAAATGAGGCATTCCATCTTAGTCCGCACGGGTGGCAACGCATCTGCATTTTGATTCGCAAACGAGGATAGATGTAGATGTCTATGGGCCACAGCAACCACTTACCATCAAGTGGACTGTGTGCTCGTTTTTCACCCTATCCTATATATAAAAAAAAAACTAAACAGAACAGGATCTTTAACAGTCTGCGCGCTGCTTTTTGGCGGGAGCAATAGGTATGAGGGTGGTAACCTACCTAGACGGATAACTTAGTATTAATAAGTAATCTTGAAATTAAACTAATTCTCTTGACAATCAACTTTCCGTATATTTACATACAAAAATACTTCCCTTGAAATTCTGCCTACGTCTGCAAAAGATAATTGCCTTGAACTAGATAATCGTTCTTGACATCAATTCAAGATATTCCTCTAGACTTGTAGGCGCTTCTTATAAGTTCGATCGTTATTATGAACACTCAGGTATATTATTACGAGTATTGGTTAAATAAAGGCATTAATGATAATAAGAGCACGATTCCAGTAATGTGAATGTTTAAGTGATTAGTGCCAAATTTAGAAAAATACCTTAAACACACTGTTTCTCTTTATGTGTATTATACGCAAATGATTGAAAAAAAAATGGTATAATATTGACAAAGTTGTAAAATGTGCTTACCCTTATACTGAAAATTAGAAATCATCTTTTTCACCAAATAAAGCTCTTTAAAGCACGAATTTAAAATGGTTTAAGTCATTATTTTGATAATTATGTTTTTAGAAAAATGTTTTTAGTACCTACTATCCTATATCCGAAAGTATCGCTAGGGTGGACTTGTATGAGAACGTTTCATTCAGTCCGAACGGATTTAGTACCTATCTTCGCTTCGACACTCGTCTCTTGGTCATAATAAACAGAAAAACATGGCTATTGATACATTCGAAAATATATATGCGTTATTGGACTGCGTCGAACGCTATATAAAGAAAAGAGCCTACCCTTTTTTAAAAGGCCGGAAACACATCTGCAATTCCCTTGGTGTTGCAGTAGTTCATGGATGTCGGTAGTCACTTACTATCAGGCGAGCTGCATACTCGTTTGTACCCTCAAAAAAAATTAGGAGATGATAATAATTTCAGTTTTATTTTAATTAAATTTAAGTGACAAATAAACTTACAGTCCACTTCATGGCAACTGGCTGCTGCGACCCATGGACACCCTGCAACGGACTTCAAACAAAGAAGGCTGCAGATGCGTCTGCAGTCTCTAAGAACTAAGATGGAATGTTTCACGGACTTATACGTAGAGTATAGAGCCATGCTGCAGCTATATTAGTAGTATAGTTGTAGCACGAATGGGTCGGCTCGACCGGGGAAGGACCACGCTCTCACAGAATACCAGCGTAAAATAGCAACTTAAAGCTGCTGTGTTTCGTATGGTGAGTGTAGAGAACCGGAGACCCTTTTTACTGGAAACGAGGCATTCAATCTTAGATCTCACGGGTGACAACGCATCTGTATTTTGATTCGCATACGAGGATAAATGTAGATGTCTATGGGCCACAGCAACCACTTACCATCAGGTGGACCGTGTGCTCGTTTGTCACCCTATCTTATAAAAAAAATACTACTAGATGTTTGAGTTTTATTTTAACTATATTCCTTTTGGATGTTCTATCAATCACTACAGAATGGATGAACATGGGGTGTATAACGCTATAAAAAAACATACTTTTTTTATTAAACAAAGTAACAAACACCACAGTCCATCTGATGGTGGACAGTTCATAGACGGACAGGACAGGACCGAGGATAGAATTCCTCACTGATTGCAATTACACTGGCTCTCTATATCAGCCAGACCGTACCCAACAGTGCAAGCAGAAAAAGATTATACAATGACTATTAACGGCTCCGTGGTGCAGTGGCTTTGGAGTTAGTTGCAGCGCTAAGGGCCACGGGGTCAATTCCCGCACGGAACAAGTATTTGTATGGCCTACAAAAAATGTTCCGGGTCTGGTTGTATGTCCTTGCGTAAAATAGCAACTTAAAGCTGCTGTGTTTCGTATGGTGAGTGTAGAGAACCGGAGACCCTTTTTACTGGAAACGAGGCATTCAATCTTAGTCGTCATGGATGATAACGTATCTGCATTTTGTTTCGCAAACGTGGATGTAGATGTCTATGGGTCACAGCAACCACTTAAGTACCATCAGGTGGACTGTGTGATCGATTGTCACCCTTATACTATAAAAATTAAAAATCTTTTATAATATATTTTTATATATATTATAAAAATATATATAATATATATATATATATATATATAATATATATATATATATATAATATATATATATATGTATAATATATATATATATATATATATATATATATATATATATATATATATATATATATATATATATATAAACTCAGCGGTACGGAATCTTGGCCAAGCGGTTATCTCGCGATAGCAAAAGCTTTAAGTGTTTCTGATGAATGTTTGTTATGCAGGTATGTCAAAAAATGTTTGCTCTCAAGTTCAAGAGGGTAATTCATTATGTTTAAGTGCACCATGACGAATTCTTTAATTTTTAGTTGAATCGGGTCATTTGAGCGACTAAGTTCACATTTTAAATTTGTGTGTTGTGAAAAGTTTACTGTAAGGTTATTCAATTATTGTGATCTTGTGTCTTAATTCAATAACTAAAGGTGCTTTAAAGCCAATAAAAATGCCATTAACACCAGCACAAGTTGCACAAGCAGTAGCATTAATTGACCAAGGGCTGACACAGCGTGAAGTTGCTATTGTGCTTAACGCACCACGGTCCTCAATGCAGTATTCACTGAAACGATACCAGGAGACAGGACGCTACACCCGCAGGCCAGGCAGTGGGGGCGTAAGGTGCACATCGGCCCGGGACGATCGTTTTATTGTTATGGAGATTTTGAGAAACCGCTACCTGACCGCTGTTGAGATACGCCAGCGGCTCCAAATCGCAAGAGGCGTTAATGTTAGTGAGCGTACGGTGAGAAGACGAATGGAGGAAGTGAATTTAAAAGCTCGTAGACCAGCACGAGGTCCAGAACTTCTCAGACAGCACCGAGTAGCCCGACTTCAGTTCGCAAGAGAACATGTCAATTGGACCCACGAGCAATGGGCTAGAGTGTTGTTCACAGATGAGTGTCGAATAGCTTTACGTGCTCCAGACGGTCGAGAACGAGTGTGGAGAAAAAGAGGAGAGAGTTTTCTACCCATTACCACCACCCAAACTGTGAGTTTCCATGGAGGCTCAATAATGGTATGGGGAGGTGTAAGTTCCGACGCACGTACAGAGTTGGTCATCGTCGATAATCGGCTTACAGCTACTCGATACATCGAGGAAGTTCTTCAGGAGCACGTAATTCCTTATTCGGGATTCATTGGACACGACCAATTCCTCCTCATGCACGATAATGCACGCCCGCACGTCGCACATTGTGTAGAGGAATATCTGGAAGAGGTTGGAATACAAAAATTACAGTGGCCAGCTCGTAGCCCGGACTTAAATCCAATTGAGCATGTATGGGGTATGTTCAAAAGAAAGATAAAGTCCAGCTCCAAACCGCCACAAACTCTAAATGAGCTCCGAAATGCAGCGCTGGCCGCTTGGGACAGCATACCGCAAGTTGATGTCAGAAACATCATTCAAAGCATGCCAGATCGAATGCAAGCGGTTATCAGGGCTAGGGGAGGAAATACCCGATATTAAAACTGATAGACAATAAAGAAACAGACTTAATTTTTAACTTTGTAGTGTTTTTAAAGTGACAATGGAAAGATGTTAATTTTAGTGAAAACATGTTATCTTGAAAAGAAAAATTTCGGTGAAGTAAACATTAAATTTCTACGTTCTAAAACCATTAGAGACACTTATTGAATGCATCTACCCTTAATTTACTGTTAAAAAAAACGTTTCAGTGCAAATAATCAGCAAATTCACGAGTGGCCAAGTTTCCGTGCCGGTGAGTGTATATAATTGTAAAATATAGTATAAGGTATTTTCTGGAGTTATAACATTGCATAATCCTTTATCAAGGATCCTTTCACATGCAGATGAAACACTTGACATTAATGCGACGTGCTGCACACCGGTCGTGTGAGCGTCTAAGCCCTTATCGATATTACATAATGACTTCCTAACTTGATGGGCGCTGGAAAGTACCCGAAATATCGGCAATTAAAAAAGTTAAAATTAAACGCGATAAAATCACGCTTTTTTAATGATTTTATAATAAGTTAATGACTTTTTGGTAGTATCCTGATCAGGATCACCAGGAAAATTCTCCCTAGAATTATCACAGTTCTTGATCATTTTTAAGTTGTGTTAGATGTTGATATTATTATTGTATTGCAAGATTTTTGTGTGCAAAACTTGAAAAATATTTGTATAAAACTGCAAAAGTTTTTTTTTTTTATTTCAATAACATTAATATTGTTGTTAAACAATTATCTTCGCTATATTTAAAAACGACGGTAAACAATAATATTTTCTTAAAAACAATATCTTATGTTAATGAGGTAACATATCAAGTGGTCGGTGAACGAGTGTGCTGAGTCATGTTTGAAAATTTTCGTCGTCATCAGTCCATAAATATTTCATTTTTAGATTAAGCTTTATCTTCAATAATTAACACAAAGAATAAAATTATCGGTGTCTGTAATTTGATAATCTGTTGTCACGTAATCTTCGACCTTATTACATAAAATAATTTATGAAGTTGTAAAGTAATTGACAATGCTATGGCCCGCAGACATCTACGTCTATCCTCAATTAAGTATCAGAATGCAAATGCATTGTCATTCCGGAGGACTAAGATGAATTGCCTTGTCACCAACCAGTAAAAAGAGTCTCCTGTTCTCTACGTACACGCTTGTATTCAGTAATAGCGTAGCCCAGCCCCGGTCGAGTCGACCCATTCGTGCTGCAACCATTATACAGCTGTAGTTGCCCCACCACGAAAAAATTTTAAACTAAAGTTAGTTACAAGTGTAGATTTCACACTGCTAAGTGCTAAAAAAATTTGTACAACCGATTTCAATATAAATGAAATGAGAACATCATCAATGTGGTCGAAGTAAATTAAATACGCATTAGTAAGGATAACTCAAAAACTACTGGTCAGATCGTGATCAAATTTATATGGGACCACAAGCTGATACGCTTTCAAATAAATAAATAAAATAATTAAAATCGGTTCAACTAGAAAGAAGTTCTGAGGTAACACATAAAAAAATACCGTCGAATTTATAATTCTTAAACCATAGCTTAAACTCAATATTATCAATAAACCAGGTTTTGTAGACGATTAATTTTTTTGAAACTCCATACTAGTCCGTTTCACGGGTCTCTCGTATATATGCATATATTCTATTAACATCAAATCAGAAAGGAAAGTATGACTAAATATCTATTATTATACATTGACTCAGTACTAGTATTTGTATCAGTGGTATTTTTGTATTTTATTTTAATTTTTATTTAAAAAAAAGTTACCCTCACACTAGGATTTTTCCTGTATCGTGGAGGCAGTTTATAAATATAAATTGCACAAGGACAAACATCCAGACTCGGAACAATTATTTGCACAGGCTGTACAAATACTTGTTCCGTGCGGGATTCGAGCCGTGGCCCCAGCGCAGCAACTCATTGCTAAGCCACTGCGCCACGGAGCCGTCAGTATGTACAATTGAAGCTATTATATATTCTGAACAAACTAATTCTCGTTGAAACCCGTAAGAAGAATGAAAAGTGGTTACTATAGTCTAAATTGTTTTATAGTTGAGAAGTTCAATTAAATTCAAACGATAAACCTCTGTAATCACCGTTAGGTATCTCTTGATTTATACGACTCCTCCCATTTCAACAAAACGTTCTCAAAGTTGTTAATTTCCACGCACTTCTATGATTTACTCCACCTGATAATGCCTACAGGTAACCTAGGCCACTTTTTGCTCTAAGTTATGTGGACGACTATTCAACCGGGGAGTGGTGACTCTATAAACAAGCCGATACTAAACGAATGTAGCGTTTATTTTCAAATCTATTCTGATCTTTTTTCCTGCAATTTACGATCTCGACGTGGTTCATTCACACTCGGCAGCCGATCGTTTTCTGTCGCAACTAGATGTTACGTACATACGTTTAGTATTTGTTAGTATGACCACAGAATAAATATTAGTACGCTATTTTTTTTACTACGTACGTAAGGAATACTTATTTTTATTAATAAAATATATTATTATTTTTAGAACTATTATATTATTTAATTTTTTTCTTAAATTAGTTTATCTATATTGTATCTCACAGTTTTAAATGCTGAGATTGCCAATATGAAATTAGTTAAAACTTCACCTCAATATGAGAAGGAGACAGCACTATATTCTATTACGTATTACGTATATAATAATAAACAAATGACACTTATGGCTTAAAAGTTTGTTTCATTATTGATTATTTAATTCATGCTATTTTCGTGTAGTGGCGTAGTTCAGTATTGTTAAAAATTACAACACGTATTACAAAATTGTTTTCTGCACCTAGAAGATACAGTGCTATATTGAAGAACTAGAAATGCGATTTCCCTTTAGAACGGCGTCTATGTGCTGTTTCGAATCGTCTCGCATGTAGATTTGACGACTTCGAGCCTCTCGAACAAGCCGGTTTCCGAAAAGTGCCGTATAATATAGGCGTGACTCTTCTGTATATTTTGCCAAAGGGCAAATTAGAGGAGTGTAGTTGTTGTGAGCACTAGCTCGAGCTCGAAGTTAAGTATTGACGAGTACGTTTACCTAGGACTCATATATATCAATCAATGAATCCAATGCGGTTGGGCAGCGTTTACCTCAAAATTTGGAAAAAAGAATGTACAACCAGTGTATGTAACCCGTAATAACTAATGTATTCTTTATTCTTTATTGTACACACTATACGTTGGTAACAATTATTAAATATTTAAATAAAATGTACAAAGGCGAGCTTAACCCTAATAAGAGTTCTCTTCCAGCAAACCTATTGGGAAAGAGAAATTGTTTTATATAAAGCAAGTAGGTAGCAGCGTGCGTACTTAATAATTAACATAACACTAGTTAATAGAAATTTAAAAAAATAATATAGAAATAAGTAATAGTTAACAATTAACATACTAAGTGTATAAAATATAAGTATAATTTATTTTCTTATTATGTATTTCTTATGTATCTGAGACGTGGTCCTTCACCGCTGGCTATAGGAGGATACTCAGTCGCTCAAGCAAGCTATGAAGTGGGCGATGCTCAGAGTATGTCATCAAAATATGAAATAATGATATCCACAGAAGAACAAGTGTAACCGACATAGCCCAACAGGTCCGTAAGCTAAAGTGGTAATGAGTCGGTTATATAGCTCAAAGAACCGACAATCGAAGGGAAGGAAAGGTTATCGGGTATTAGACAGACTGTACAAGTAAAAGTTAAAGTTCAAACATCATTAAAATTATTTTGAACACGGTTAAAATATTGAGCTGCGAACCTACGAAGAATATTTAAAACTAGCTGTTCCCCGCGGCTTCGCCCGCGTTCAATTAAGGGTTTTAAATTTTTTGCGCAGAACCCTAATTCTTTTTCTAAAATAAAAGTAGCCTAAGTTACTCCTTATAATATCAGCTATTTGCCAGTGAAAGTCCCGTCGAAATCGGTCTAGCCACTTCGGAGATTAGCCAGAACAAACAGACAGAAAGACAGACAGACAGACAAAGATTTTAAAAATTGTGTTTTTCTTTTAAGTACCGTATATGTACGTACACTTTCATATGTATTTAGTAAAAAGCTGTTATTTTGATATTAGAAACAGACACTTTAATTTTATTTATTTGTATAGATAGTAAATAATATTGCAAAATAAAAAAATAGTCTCAGTATGATACTGTATATAATAAGCAAAAATATTCAAATAAGTACTAGCACCATAGGCTTTCGAATTATAATAAGAAACGCTGAACAGCGGGAAACCTTAGTACGGATTCGCTATACGGGCCTCACTGGTATAACATTTTATAGCCAATTTAATTTTTTGCTCAGTTAACGAGTCAATTCATTTGTCGTAAATATCACAGGATAAATGATTGTTCAGTTTGTATTTCAGTGTGGTATGTCTAAGTGAAAGATATAGAGATCACTAATCTTTATTATGTGCCAGCTGTTCCCCGCGACTTCGCCCGCGTGTAATTTAGGGTTTTTTGTGCGGAACCCCAATTCTTTTTTTTTTTAAATAAAAGTAGTCTAAGTTACTCCTTATAACATCAGCTATCTGCCAGTGAAAGTCCCGTCAAAATCTGTCCAGCCAGATTAGCCGGTACAAACAGACCGACCAGACAGACAAAAATTTCAAAAATTGTGTTTTTGTTATAAGTAACGTATAATACACTTTCATATGCGTTTAGTAAAGAGTTATCCTTTTGAAATTACAAACAGACACTTACATTTTATTTATTTGTATAATATAATGTATAATAGATGAAAGTAGGTACTTTTATAATAGAACTCAGTTCATAAAAAATTAACTTGTTGATGTATGAAGGAATAAAGTTACGTCAATAACTGAATAAGGTCTGGTCTGAAAAATCTCTGAGCATGCAAAATTTTTTGATTGCAATATTTTTGAAAATAAAAAATTCCAAGTGTTAAACGAAACGTGTTGAAATTGATCGATATAGCTTTCACGTTCTTTGTAGG